ATATATATATATATATATATATTATACCAATATAATATTTAAAGATGCAACAAAAGATCAACTCAATCAACCATCTTTGACGACTTGCATATCGACTCATAAATAAAACACGAAGATAATTTCAAAAATCCCGTCAAATTTCAATTATTAATTTTATGTTCCAATAAACTTGGATGTTTAAATAAATAATTGAGTATTTGAATAAATAACTGATCAAGTTGAATGAAGTTGAATTTCCTTTGAAAGATTGATATTTTCGTTGACAACTTTTTCAACTTTCATACGCACTTTCACTAAATAGCTGATGCTTCGTAAAATCTGTCAGGAACCATCTCAATATTTAGAAAACACGTGTGTTTCAATCGTTCTAAAATTTCAACAACAAAAAATCACTCTGCCTAGTAATCTTTAACCATCCGACTGTTATACCTGTCTCTTCTTTCTATCAATATCTATAAACTGTCAAGATTAAATTTAAAAAGATTCATTTGAATCGCATCCTACGTTGCAATAATTTAGAAATATATCAAATATCCGTGCGATGTGCGATAACGTACGTAGGTGAGAATTATAATTTTCGTATAATCGGCCCGACGATTCGGGAGTAACTGTTGCACGTCGAAACAACGCGTTTTGAAATCGATCGAACGAACCGAATCCTCGCTAGTTTCCGATCGTCGTTGGACTTCCTAACGCCACGATGTTATTCTCAGAGCAAGTCGCTGTGATCCCTGAACTTCGAACTTCGATTACCAATTTTATGAATAATCTTGAAACATTTTGTTAGTAGGGACCTCGATTTTCATCCAAAATTCGACCATTCAACCTGACTGTACGATGACTCGATGATTCGGGGCTAACTGTTGCGCATCGAAACGACGCGTCTTAAAATCAATCGTACTTGATTCCTCAACACCTGTAATATTGTCGCGAATTTTAATAATCTTATAACTCCAATGAACGAATATTCAGACAAAATTCCAATTTTCGATGATCCAGGGCGCGTCTTAAAAATGAACTGAACGATAAATCCTCTCTCTCTCTCTTTATTGTTTCCGATTCTCCGACACCGTGACCGGTATCCACAATGCGCGTAACTATAACACGTTGTAGCACGTAGCTCGTGACGTTGAATTTTAATTAGCCATTGATCTCACAGTCACACACGCGATTGAACTCGACGGGGCCGTTCGTACCAGAAATTTCCAAATTCTATCGTTTCGAACGAGCTCGCTGGACACGTCCGCGACGCGAGCAACCACGTCGTCGTGGCACAGGTAACGGAGAACGTGCCCTCCATGCCAGGAGAGGACTGTTTGCCTGACCCAGCGACACTGACTTTAATAGTAGAGCCTCTCGATTGATCTGCCGCAGCCGCAAGGACTGTCTTGTCACGATAGCGTTCGGTGTTTACGGCGCAGTTGGTGGAACGCGAAAACAGACACAGGCATGTTCGAGGGCTCGATACCTGAACGCGGAACCAGAACCGTGGACTTCCGTGCAAGTTTCGCTACTTGAATGAACAGTCTTTTTATTTTGCCAGCAAACTCGCAGGCAATCACAGGCCCGACGTGTTTGAATAATTTTTCATTCGGATCGTTTAACATCGATCTTATTACGGATCGAAGCGATTGGAGTTGGCTGCTCGTTGGTGTTTCGTGGACGATAATAAGGTCGAGGTCGCCCGCAGGAGCGATCTCGAGTTTGTTGTTCGAACGAGTTT